TTTATGTTTTACATAGGGAGGAAAAACCAGTAAGCCCTACAGATATATTTCATTGTACTATAAGATGAAATTATATATCTCATAGGTAACTCATATGATGATCATCTGGCTGTATAGTACAGTTCTGTTTAACTCTGGGTTAAAAAAAGACTGATTTAACATTTATAAAACTGCTCATTTTTTTTCTTTACTTTGTTAACTTTGTAGATGTACACACTTTTATTTTATTCCTATTTTTCAAGTTTGCTATTAACAGTTAACTATAATTTTAACCAATTGATATAAAAACAGTCCCCTATTTAAATCTCGAAGTTTTGTTATCTCAATAAATGTTTCTATATGTCTGATACTAGTGTTATTCCGATCCAAACATATGGGAGGTTTCAATCTCCAGACATCACCTGACCTACCATTGGAGGACAGCCATCTGAGAGTTATAATGAAATAAACTTAGCAACTTTCTTTGCCACAAGTTATGTAAAAACTGAACATACAGCTGTATTTGATTTTGCTTGATAGATTCCTATACTAAAATAAGAGGGTAGAAAATGCAAGGTATATGTACATACTGCGCAGGCTTTGCAATCCCTGATTTAGAACTACTGTTCAGAGAGAGAGGACGATCGATCAGTAGCAACTACTGCCTATATGGCAACTCTTAACTAAACAATGAGATTGACTGTCACTTTCAGGATGTATCTATAGCTGAAAGTGCACAGCAGATTCAGTGGTATATCAAGGGCTCAAACCTCAAACGACAGACCTTCCGATACACAGCCTGGCATGTTAATTACTAAGAAACATCTAGCTTTATTATGTATCACCATGAATTATTTACAATTGATGATATCTTATAGATTTTCCAACTATTGCTAAATAAGATGAATTCAAACAGACAACAGAACAGATTACAACAATCAGTGTTTTGGACTTTATTTTGTTTGCTACCCTGTAACTCAATGGTAAGTTTGCCGGTTTATAACGTTAAAAATTTGGTTCAATACCTGTGGTGGGCACAGTGAAGGTAGCCTATTAAGTAGCATTGCACTTAAAAATAAACTGAATTTTTTGCTTATGTATCTTAAATAAAACACAAAAATACATGTGATAAGCAACATTGAAAAAAAAAGGCAAAGATAAAAAATACGCTTCCTTCTGTTTATTGATGCAGTTTGTAAACTCACGCACAATATATATAATTTAGGTTATTCACATATGCTTACAGCATTAACTGTTATAATGCGAGTAAAAGGGGGAAAACATGAAATGGACTTGCATTTGCCAGAAGATAATGTTTTCCATGATAGCGAACATTGCTTGTATTGGAGAAATACATTTTAGTGATTGGAAGCTTTTTTTGAAATATTGTACACTACATGTATTAAGTTCTGTATAAATACAACACATTATTCGTGGGAAAAATTAAATTGTCCATTTTACAAAGTGCACAGCATTTCAAAGTTATCATTGCTACATGTTAAGTTTCCAAAGTACTATAAAAGTTATAGTAAAATTATATCCCTTACAGCTTACATACGTTTCCATGTGATGATTTAATATACCCTTCTGTTGAAGCATTTGCTAGGATTACAGATGCTTAATGGATTGAAAGTTTAATTTTTATATGTGTCTATACATACCTGTAAGACAAAGGAAGAACACACATAGTAGCAAAGGCACAATAGAAACTTGACCAAATAAGGAAACGAGAAACATTAAGTAAGTACATTGGTTAGTCGAAAATGCATTCCAAGCAGTAAAATGAGACACAGAAACCAACAGATCCACTTCTCAGCAGTGAAAAGACGTGATTACAGTGTTGAAAAGCAGCGGATGTTTATGATAACATACATAAAACTAATGGAAGTGGCCTTGTGAAAAATAAACAGCAGACTTTGATGGGAAGCAACAAGTGGAGGATTATACTAAAAAGACCAACGTTAACTGGCTTATTGTACCAACCAATTAACAAATAGTTAAGGTTTTGATTTTATAGAAGGTCACGAACGTACTAATTAAGTGAAGGAACTACTTGCAAAGTAGCTCTACAGCATTTGTTGATAAATAGGACGAACACAAGAAAATGTGTATAAAACGTAATATTTTTGGTCAAGAAATCAGATCATTCCTTGATCCAGTGTTACCAGGACGCTTGCTGTCTAAATATGATCGTACTTCAAAGTGTCAGAAATATCCGTCATACAAACGCACTGTAAATAGTTATTCCTACGATTCTCTACTCTAACAACGTATTTAGCAAATAATGTATTATGTATGAAAATAGGGTTATGTTAAACAAGACTTTGATTGTAGAATTAGTAAAATTTATCGAAGAAGTAATAGAGTTGTTGAAAGATATTTTAGAATAAGTTTTAACTGAATTAACTAAACATAACTACGTCTGAATGTATATCTGATGTTAACCTAATTAATAATTTGTTTGAATAAACTGGAATGGACGGAAACTACTTTTCTAAAAAGAACAAGTGTAGAGAACAACGTTTCGAAAGTCTTCTACACTTGTGTTTTCTACAACAAGCATTTGCCGTCCATTCCAGTTTATTCATCATGAATACTCTGCCTAAACAATCTATCAAAGGAAAATTTGTTTGTTATATGTTTGTGTCTATGTTGATGAATCTTGTCAAAGGTTTGAGCAATGAACAATTAACCAACCAGAACGAAGAATTTAGCCATTTTGATATAGAATTATTTCACGACATTTTTGGTACTATTGCCGTCGATGGATATTTGAATATTTTAAATTAAACTTTGATATTATATTTCAATAACCAGTCTCTGAGTGAATTCTTTATTCCAAATGTAAACTTCCTCGAGTTGGTGTCTTGTGTGTTTAACCAACAACTGTATAACCTGGTAATAAATATATATATTTGTAACTTGTGTGAAGTTTACCCAACGACTATGCCTACTGGCTCCAATGGGAGACCTGAAACTTTGCACGCGTACTAAGGGGATTCTGAGGGTGTGCATCTGGGTAATAATTTTTAGATTCGACTAAAAAAATATTGAACACTTTTATGCCCCTTAGTTTACCCTTAAGCCCCATAATTCTGCTTCCTGAAGGTCTATAGAAGAGTATCATATTTTTTTTTCTAATTCTCACTTACTGAATGAACAATATGTGGAGGTTTTCTGCCAAATACTATTTTTCAACACAAACATGGGAAGAAAAATACAAATCTGGAATTTAAAAAAAAAAGTTGAACTGAACTAAGTTTGGGAAATGATAACAAACAACGGGAAGAAAAATATGAATCAGAGAATGTTGGAGAATTCGAAGAATGAAAATAATTCAAATAAAAATACAGGAAGAAAAAACGAATATGAGAAGCCAAATTAAAACTATTTGCTTTTAAAAAGAATTGAATTAAGTTCGGGAAATAGCAACAGACAAATCAATTAAAGAATTGGCGCAATGGGGTAGCTATAGAAGTAATTAAGATAATGAAGATGCTTGACTAGTACATTGAGACATCAGTGAATCATGAGGGGACATCAGAATCCCTCAGAGGGGCGTGGGTATTTATGCTAGTGTAGAATATAACAATATCTCACAAAAAGTGTTAGAATACAAGCACTATTAAAGCTATATACATTTATAAACTTGTTAGTGTATTAACTCTATAACGCAATTATAACTCCTTAAGAAATTACAAATAAATTGGTACGTACCTAATGATTGAGCTTAAGTTTGTTATGGGCCAAGCCCCATAAACTGTTTGTCTGTTTTAGCACAAAGCCACAATTATGCTAGCTTCGCTGTGCTTGCTGAAGGAATCAAACCCAAAGTCTAGCATTATAAGTCTTCTAGCTTACCACTGAGATTTGAAGAAACTATAAGATATTTATTTTAGCACAAATCGTCATAATGAGCTATCTACAATGAGACCACAGTGGGGATCAAATTCTGAATTCTAGCAATATAAGCCTTCCAGATTACCACTGAGCTACAGTTAAACAGCAAAAGTAACTTACGAATTAGGAATTATACTTATCATAAGTTTCATAAAATTTGAATTATTCACATTTTTGTTGTTTTTAAATGCTACACAATGGGATATCTACTGTTCGTACAACGGGAATCAATCCCCTAAATTTTTGCATTAGAAGCCTTCAAGTTTACTGCTGAAATACTGGTGGGCTATTCACATCTAAGTTTCCATCGTTGTTCTCTTTCAAAATTAGAGCTAAATCCTCAGTACTTACACAGTACTTTGTTGTTAATGGTATAAGCCAACAAACTGTAATCATAAGTCAGACCCAACTTAACACAGAAACGAGGTCTGGACTTTCTAAATTTCTATATTAGTATTAACCTTAGATAAGTTTATTTATACATACAACGGTTTAATACTAATAAGATGATTAGATTTCCGAGACCGTAGGAGAAGCCGGCATAAAGGGTTGTATAGGCGATTTTTACCATGAACTTAAGCAAATAAAAATTATTTCATGGTATAAAAACTAAGAAAAAATTATTATAATTATTTTATTTTCTCTACAAGTTATATTGAAATAAACACGTGATTAAAGGGTTCCTGTACTCATAAAATAAAAAGAACATCAGAAAACTGGTTCACCAATGACCATATTTAAAAGTCACCACTTCAAGATTTAAAACGTAATGTTAATTGATATCATCATTTATTTACTGGACAGGCAGGACAGGTGAACATTTTTTAAGATGTACAATACTCTAAGGCTCTGGGTAAAACTTGGAGAAATGTTTTCTGGATAATTTATTTTAGGACACTAGAGGAGAAAGTTGGGAACTGGAATATCCGGTCACCTCATTGTTTAGTATAACTTACTTATCTTTAGAAGTAATAAATAATAAACCGAAAATGATATTAGGATTTGGTTCAGTGAAACATTTCCTTTTTAAAAACGCATTAAGGCATAAACAAAAAAAATACTTACATGTTCCTGGTTTTTCACAAATACTTACATGTTCCTCGTTTTTCACAAATACTTACATGTTCCTGGTTTTTCACAGCTCACCACCCCATCTTCTGGCACAAGCTGGCAATTCACCCGTTGGACAGATATTAACTCCTCATCCTGGTCTTGACTGCCCCCTGGCGTCGATTCTTCTTGATTAGGTCTAAAGAAAACCCCAAAGCCAATGTCATAGCACTCTGTTTGAAATTCCCAGCGAATAACAGATCCTGCTTCTTCTATTTTCAGTTCTACCGGAAATAATGACTTTTTTTCGATAACGACCTTTTTCAGGTTTTCTGCAGCAGACAAACGTCGAGAAGGAGCCGTGTAGTAAGAACAGGGCACAAACCCTCCAGTACCAATCTGGGGTTAAAGAAATAATGATGATGTATTCAACATTACCAGAACTTTAAAGATAATTTAAAATAAACATAACCACCAGATCGAAATCATTAATGAATAAATTAAGACGAACATACTGAAAATTGTCACTTCTCTCTTCCCATCAAAATTGTAAATTTTGGTGAGAAAGATCAGTCTGCTATTCAACTTATCACTCACATTGAGATAAACCAGTTTCAGTACATTCAGTAATATTGGACACGGGAGACTAGAGAAATAAGAACAGGGCTCTTCGAGTCGTAGTCAGGAAGTTAAAACCATATATGTACAGAAAACACTTTCACTCCAGACTTGTCGTTACTGAAAAAAGTTCATGATGTTTCTTTTGTTAATTTCGCGCAAAGCTACACGATGGCTGTCTGCGTTAGCCGTCCCTAATTTAGAAGTGATAGACTAGAGGGAAGGCAGTTGGTTAATAACACCCACCGCCAACTCTTGGTCTAACCGTCACATTATAACGTCCCCACAGCTAAAATGGCGAGCATGTTCGGTGTGATGAGTATTCGAACCCGCGAGTTGAGCGCCCTAACCAGCAGGCCATGCCATGCCCAGTCTAAATTAGGATTAGGATTTAGAGGTCACGACAAAGTTTAAATTCAAACACCAAAGGTAACTATTTAAGTTGTCTTAAGTATCTTACCGAATTTTATGATTTTTTTTTAATTATTTGGAACGATATAATAATCCGGTCAAGGAATTACAAGTTATTTGTCATATCGAACTTGTGATGAGTTTACTAAATTAATGAAAAATCAGCTTTAGCTTAAATTCACAAACGAAGTTTGTGTATTTTCTTATAACAAAGCCACATCGGACTATCTGCTGTGTCTACCGAGGGGAATCGAAACCGAGTTTAGCATTGCAAATCCGAAGATTTACCGCTGTCCCACCGGGGGAACTCGCAAACGGCGTTAAAGGTGTAATATATTTTTCCATAATTATTCATTCAACACTGGACGTAAGTTATTTTGATCAACTTACTTTTATAATAAGATTTATTGGATAAGACTAGCAAATAAAAGAAATACGTTTTTGGATTTATTCCTGTAAAAATTCAAACTGCCAAAAATTTAGAAGTTTTGCTAAATAATCTGAAATTATTAAATATAGACATCAAAACCTGCAGAGTACAAACCTACGATAATGCTTCAAGTATGGATGGAAAGTATTCGGGACTTCAAGCAACCATTAAAAAGCAAGCACAATCAGCCTTAGGTATACGTTATGATAGCCATTCGTTAATTCTAGTCGGCAATTGTACAGCACAGACATGTTCTAAAGCGAAATTATTTTTTAATTTTGTACAAAACTGATTTATATTGTTACGCATCTGCTTCTACACAAAGATGGAATATTCTTACAGATTGTCTAGGGAAGAATACAACATTAAAAAAAGTGTACGAGACCAGATGGTTTGTAAAAGTAGACGCTGTTTATGCTCTTAAAAACTACTCAGAATAGAAGCTACATCTTTAATTAAAAAGTTTGACGATTATTAAACAAAACTTATGATTTCACGTTGGTCCAAAATATTACAATCAGTAAATGTGGTAAATCTATTATTACAAGACTTAAAGCTGAATATTTTGAAAGGAGAAACATTATTAATATCATTGGAAGAATTCATCTTTGAATTAAGAAATCATTTTGAATTAAATGAACATAATTTATCCACCACTGGTGACAAAATATTTTACGAAGAAAGAAGCAGGCGAAATAAAACGGAAAGTATTTATTGATGAAAATACTAATAATGAAGTATTGTTAATAGGAAGAGATTGATTCATTTCTAGAGTTATCTTTGTAATTTGTGATCGTTTAGTTAACGAAATTGACAAAAGAATTGAAAGTTAGTGATCTTATTAAACATTTAAAAATATTATTTGATTTTACAATAGATGACAAGGAAAAGCACGAATGTTTGAAACAGTTAATTTATGTACGAGTGGCATAGCCACTGAGTCATTTAAAGAAGAAACAGCACATATTTTTTTTTTCAATTTTGCGAAGAGGAAAATGTTTGTTGCCCGTGAGACATGTATAATTTACTATCGGATGCATTACACTCGATATTTCCAAGTTTAGAAACTGTGCTAAGAATTTTTTAAATTCTTTCTGTTAGGTCGTTTTCTATGTTAAAAAGAGGGAAAGCTATTTACGAAACACATTATTCCAGGATCGTTTCTTTTCTGAACATAAAAAACGATGAATTAGAACATATGAATTAAAAAATAATTATTAACCAGTTTGCAGTTAAAAGAGTCAGGAAAGTTTGGATATGAGGTAAATATTTATACTTTATTTGCTTGAGTTTATATTGTTCTATATAAATGATGAATTATCTAAATTATGCTAGCAATAGGGGCCCAAACTTAAAGTTGAGCCTAGGGCTAAATCCGCCACTGTTGAATGCAAGATGCTGTTACCATTGCAGTCAATATAACAATTATATGTAACCAAAGAAAAAAGCGATCTAGGACTGATTAACGGTTCCATTAGGTCTAATACATTAGATACGTTAGGCCTAAAAGCATTTAAATTACTCTCTTGGAGATTGCTGTTGGTAAAGATTTTTCCTCAGAATAATAGTTTTCAAACTGTTGTAATACTAAATGTTATACATTTATAGAAACACCATATATAGAAGGTCGAGTAATTATACACGTAGCAACCAAGATTTTTTTGTAAGGAGGGGAGGCGAATAACAAAAAATAAGTGTATTTCTCATTATTTTAAAGTAGTTCAGATCAGAGATGAATATTCAGCTTTCTAAACATGACATTTCTCAGTATATATATATATATATGCACAACGTTTAATAGTTTATGGCTCGAGCCCTCCAACGTTTTTCGCTTTCTTGTGTGCATGACACGACACATTCAAGCGATTTAAATGTATATATCAATAAGTCACGTGACAACAATAACCAATATAAACTCCCAGTGGAACAGAATGCATCGGAACTAGATTTTGACATTTTTGGCATTACATGTGTAGTTTGATGTCAACGAACATTTATTGCTTTTGGGAAGAGTATGTAGCAGTCATTTCTGACGTAAAATATTCATACACTCAGGTCATAAAGACGTGATCAAATCGGGAATTCAGAATTTCCAAGATGGGGATATCCCTTATACTTAGTGGCATTGGAAATCAAAGGAATATGATTTGACTTGGGCCACCAAGACCACCTGGAAAGAAGCCTGCAACAAATTGTACTCCAGCTATGGTAAGAAATATATAATGTCTTGTAATAGTAAGACTCCACAAACATAATTTTCAGTGTCAAAATTTGTCTATGAGACCCAGACAACAGTAAGCAGCATAATCAAGAAGGATTTTTGTCTGGAAAAGTGATGCAAGTCACATGTATACAAGTTCCTTCCACATATACTTGTTCAACCATGGCATTTAACAAGCGGTTGGAAAATAAAACGGGTATTCATGCTATTCCATATGAAGACATACTGGTAAACTAGTCAGATGCAGCATCTATTGCTTTCCGTACCGGGAAACCATCCTCGTACACTAGATGGCTCATGAAAAACTGCAGAGAGGGGAGGTGTACTTTAGACATAACAACCTCACAACTAAACATTTTACAATAAACACTTTGCTGTAGGGCTATTGTCAAGATACTCGATCGTCAGGTAGATGATAACTGAATGTAACGATATGGACCTAATGATGTGGGGAAGCTATAGAATCATTTTGATATACCCAACCTCTGTATATCATTTTACTATCAAATAATTGTGCAAGTTCTTGTGTGTAAATTGTCGCTTTATACTAATTATATAACGGTATCATTTCACAACCATATTTAACCTCTTCATTATTGTCTGAGCCTATCGTTAAGGGATTTTTCGTGTAAGCTAATCGCCAGATAACACTTGATGAAAGATTAAATAACCAAAGTTATTTCGTTTTATTGAACTCAGCTCAATGTTCAAATAATCATCTTACTGACAAAGCGTATATAAATAATAATCTTACTGACAAAGCCTATATAAATAATAATCTTACTGACAAAGCCTATATAAATAATAATCATAATGACAAAGCCTATATAAATAATAATCTTACTGACAAAGCCTATATAAATAATAATCATAATGACAAAGCCTATATAAATAATAATCATAATGACAAAGCCTATATAAATAATAATCTTACTGACAAAGCCTATATAAATAATAATCTTACTGACAAAGCCTATATAAATAATAATCATAATGACAAAGCCTATATAAATAATAATCATAATGACAAAGCCTATATAAATAATAATCTTACTGACGAAACCTATATAAATAATAATCTTACTGACAAAGCCTATATAAATAATAATCTTACTGACAAAGCCTATATAAATAATAATCTTACTGACAAAACCCACACAAATAATAATCTTACTGACAAAAACTATAGAAAACTACCTTAAAATTAAACAATCTACCTTTCATTTCTGTATGTTAAAAAACTTACAATTATGGAACATCGAGGGTCGCCATCTTGATCAACTTTTGTTCCACCCCAGTGCGATGGAAGTTCTATTGGGTCAATGTCTTCCATCACGGCCGACTTCCAGGTTTCTGTAAATATTGTTCTCAGTAAGAAGTACAGAAACTTAATGTTACAATTCTAAATTCCAAAATCTGAGAAATTAATGAAACCAATAGGTTTAATAATAGCGATAAAAGTCACATTAGACTTCAGATATGTTTATTTTATTTACATTTCACTTTATTAGTCCATTACAGATTTCAAATTAGAGGCACGTAAAAACAACAACAAACAAGCAACAATCAAATGGGACATAAGTATTTTGAAACTGGTGGGTCACCTTTCGCATTTTTATTGATTTTTCAAAAAGAAATGCCAACATCAATCGAGCTAGCAAGAATGCTGGCAACTACAAAACACCTTACATGTTTAAGTACTGCATGCTGTTTTACCAACTTTATTTTAATACTTATGTTATTTTAGTTTTTATTTTTTAACATTTTGAAAATGGTGGGGGCAGTGTTACCAGTTCCACCCCAGGTTCTACCTCTTATGACGACGATAGTAAAAAGCAATAGCATATACATTCTAGTGTAATTATTATCACTACTACTAATTTTAATAATTTTAAAGATTTACTATTCTATAATTATTATACATTTCCAACTATCTCAATACAGGCCCCTAAAAATCGATAATTAGGCCCAAAGTTTAAGTACACTTTGTATTAGGTTGTCAAGAAATTAATGTCGCGTTTTGGAACACTTCCATTAACCAACCCCCCAAAACGTACATCACATATAATAGTTAAACGATCCGCTTAACGCCCGTTAGTGTAGCCTATATAATGTGTAAAGTTTAGTATACTCTAATCCCTTATAGTGATGGCACACCACGAGACACACATTCGGCATGTAATGCTGTTTGAATACAAGAAGGGAAGCAACACCCCTGTAGCCACAAAGAATATCAAAAATGTATATGGAAATGTTTTGAACGTTCGCAAGTGTCGACGATGGTTCAGCAAAGTTCGTTCAGGTGACTTTAGCTCTAAAAACTTTGATGGCAGGGGCCAACATGTTATAGTTCATATTGATGCTCTGAAGACACTTGGTGAGTCTAACGCAAGGCAACACACTCGTGAAAT